CGCCTGGATAATCCCCAAACCCTAAAACCCTAAAACGCTAAAACCCTAAACCCCAAAACCCCAAAACCCCAAAACCCTAAAACCCTAAACCCCAAAACCCCAAAACCTTGAAACCCTAAAACCCTAAAACCCTAAAACCCAAAACCCCAAACGCCTGGATAATCGTCCTAACACTCGACTTGCTTTGCTCCGGGAGCCTTGCCGCCCTTCTTTCCGCCCTTGGCCTATCAGCTTCCGGGGTTTTAGGGTTTAGGGCTTAGGATTTAGGGCTTGGGGCTTAGTGTTTTAGGGTTTTGGGGGTTTAGGGTTTTTAGGCTTTAGGGCTTAGGATTTAGGGTTTAGGGCTTAGGATTTAGGTTTTAGGGCTTGGGGCTTAGGGCTTCAGGGTTTTTGGGGTTTAGGGTTTAGGGCTTAGGATTTAGGGTTTAGGGCTTGGGGCTTAGTGTTTTAGGGTTTTTGGGATTTAGGGTTTTTAGGCTTTAGGGCTTAGGATTTAGGGTCTAGGGCTTGGGGCTTAGGGTTTCAGGGTTTCAGAGTTTTAGGGTTTAGGGTTTAGGCTTTAGGGCTTAGGATTTAGGTTTCAGGGTTTCAGGCTTAGTGTTTTAGGGTTTTTGGGGTTTAGGGTTTAGGCTTTAGGGCTTAGGATTTAGGGTTTAGGGCTTCGGGCTTAAGGTGCTAGGGTTTAGGGTTTAGGCTTTAGCTTTCAGGGTTTCGGGCTTAGGGTGTAGGAGTAGTTTCAGGGAGTGATCTGGGGTTCTAAGCAGGTCTGTGGCATGATGCCATCGGCTCGAATCCAGAGGGTCCAAGCAATCAACAACTAGGCACATGGGTTGTAGTCTAAACTCCTAGTATCCCCCTTAATAAGCCCTATAATAGTCCCCTATATAATCCCCTATATAACCCCCATTTAGGGCGTTTGTACTATAGCTCACATGGGTTTAGGGTAATTGTAAGTGATTATGACCAGCCTTGGGGGCCTCCGGCTTCCAGCTACCTGAACCGGTTTAGGGTGGTTTCAGCTACTTTTGGGGTCCAGGTAGAGGTGTCCCAGCACAGCGACTCTGTCGCGACGCTCGCAACGCGATGTTGGGTGTTCGTCGTAGACCTGCCGCTTGACAACGATAAGCACTTGATGCTAGCTTTCTTTGGGCTCGGACTCCAACATCTTGTGATTACTACCTTCGACTGTTCCGGCACAATGTTAACCTAGAAGCCCAGGTACCCATATAGTAGGTCCTTGAGTTACAGATACTATATAATTATATAGGGTCTTAAGGACAGGAACCCAATCTAAAGGTAACTGGGCTTGAAGGGTTAACAGCCTCGCAAGCCCTAAGGGTCCAAGGACCCAAATAATAGGGCTTTGGGGCCCAAATACCATCAGCATTATAGTATTTGGGCCCTAGAACCATATATTTGGGTCCTTGGACCCTAAACCCTAAACCGCATATATTCCTCTATAACCCCTTTAAAGGGACCATATTATTTGGGTCCTTGGACCCTTGGGGAAGCAGACAGCATCACGTCCGAGATTGTCATCCCCGCCCCCCCGTAAAGCGCGGCCACTGCCAGGACCTCGTCCGCTAAGGGAAGTCATACCTTAACCTACCAAAACCTAGTGTTTTCTAGGGTCCTAAATAGTACCTGGACCCTAAAGGTATGTAGAATAATGGCCTTTTGGGCTAGTTGTAAGGATTTGGGGCTATTACTTACCTACTTTTGGGGTCCAGGTAGACCTTAGTATAGAATTTATAGGGAACCTACAGAAAAGTAGCTTTTGGTAGGTTAAGGTAAAGTTGTTTGACGGCCACGCACGGATACGGGCGGCCTGGGCGACTCCAAACCCTAAAACATTACAGCCTAAACATTAATCCCTGAAGCCTCGAAACTGTTCTCAGGCTCAAGAGCTTCAACAGAAGCAGTGCTTGGACCATGTGAGTAGTGCTTTTTGGTGGTTAAACCTAGTAAGATTATATTCCTTATATAAGATACTATACCCCAAAAGGAGGATATAGTATTACTCTATATTGGGTACCATAGTATCCCCAAATAAAGTAATTACTGATCATGTAGGTGTATGGGGTCCTATACGTTTGAGGGTGAATGGGAGGTGGGGATTTCAGGATCCTCGGGTGCTTGCAATTTTCAGAAACACCCAAAGCCTAATCCGTTATCATCCGTTATCCATAAAAACACAATTCGAATCCGCAAGTTCCCAGCCCTCACCCGTAACAAACAAAACAAAAGACAGGATCCAAAAACCCTAGATCCTGACCCACCCCCCCACCGCCCCCCCAGACCCGCAAAAAGGACCTCTCTTTGTAAAAGCCCACTGCTGCTCGCCTCGCCATAGCCTGAGCGGTAAGGCTGCCCATAGCCAGCGGCCGACATTGCGTCTCTGTGCACGATGAAACTCCTTCACACCTAGTATTAAGGGTTTAAGGTTTGGGATCCTGCCCCCACCCATTAAAAGTCTATCTTAGGGATCAGATTAAACGCTACATACATATATATATATACAAAACTTACAAATATCTTATAAACATAAGCCAGCTGTTAGTAAGTGGGGGCAGTACCCAACCTATTCTACTCCTTCATACCTATCTTATTACGTTAAGATTTACGGGATACTTCATATCGGGGAAATTGCCTTCGCATAGGGTTACGTAAAGGATTCTTGTAGCTAGGAGCCGATAAAAGCTTGTAGCCGATTTGATGTAATTACTCTATTCCATATAGTCCCCCCTTAAGTAGATAAAATATGGGGTATATGGGGATCTTACTATAATATACCCAAAGCCATATTCTATCTACTTAAGGGGGACTATAACCATAGCAGGTTCCTAAACCCTAAACCTAGGACCTTCAAGACGGCTTCTACAGTAGGCCCTGAGCAATCCCAGTTTTTAATCCCCTCATCATGCAGAGGGAGTACACATCACTGAAAAACACCGCGGTAGACCCCAAAAAACCCTAATCCCTAAACCCTAAACCCCAATCCCTAAAACCGCTAAACCCCAAGGGCTCAGGGTCGACTGTAATTGGGCCCTGCCAAAACCTACCCTAGAAGCCCAGAGACATATTGGGTTCCTGTCCTTAAGACCCTACACAATTACATACTATCTATAACCCAAGGACCTACTATATGGGTACCTGGGCTTCTAGGGCTACCTTTCTAGGGTTTAGGGTTGAGAAGTTCGTCCATGGAGCGTTTAGCCACCGAACCCCCACCACCAGAAGCAACGCAGGGTATGGGATTGGGAGTTGAGAGACTGAAGGCAAAGTAGGTGTATCCTCACGGATCTTTAGGAGCAGTATGTACTTTTAGGGTCAAAGAGACTTCACCCCTAAACCCTAAACCCCAAACCCCATGGCTTGTAAGGGTTCAGACTTTAATTTGAAAGCCCGCCCGATGGCTTGCAGATACGGGCGTTTCTCAAAAGTTCAGGGTTTAGGGTTTAGGGTAGGGCATCTTGGATGCCCTACCCACTACATTCACTACATACTGCCCAACGGCAACACCCCAACATTCTGATTCAAATTCCCGCATACGCCTTGTGTCTCTGGGGTACTTCCTCCCATGAATGCCATACACCCTAATGCCCAAACCCTCACACTTGTGGCGTTCAGGTAGACCGATAAACTCTACATAACCCCTAGGATCCCTATAGTTTCCATTTTCTTTTCCAAAATCCCTATACAACCCTATGCAACCCCAATTTACTACAGGAGTTCCCCTGAACCCTAGACCCCAGGGGTTTTAGCGCTAAACCCTTAAACCCTTAAACCCTTAAACCCTAAACCCTAAACCCTTAACCCCTAAACTATAAACCCTAAGCCCTAAACCCTAAACCCTAAGCCCTAAGCCTTCACCTACCTCTTTGCTCTCTGACTTCCGAGGTGCTGGTGCGGCCGGGCGAAATGCAAAAGCAAGCTGTCAAGTCGTAGGCATTGATTGTTCCCTAAGGGTCCAAGGACCTCAATATTAGGGCTTCTATAGGGGTTGTATATGGGTTATCCCTAGGGATAAGTTGCTTCTGTGTAGTTCCTTCTTGGGTAGTATATTATAATCCCTTACCCAAAAAAGCCATAACAGACCCAAAAAGGAACTAACTACATAGGAACCCTTGGGTAATTGTTTCTGTTAGGAATGACTGAGGCTACCCTTACCGGAACTTGAGCAGTTGAGGTACTTATGTTGTACGTTTCGAATTTGGGGTTACTATTGGGTACTGCCCCCCCCTCACTAACAGTTGGATAATAATTACAATATGGGTATATATAGCCCTGAATAGGACCCCCAATATGGACTGTCACTGGGTGGGGGCAGTACCCAAGGTTACTTCAAGAAAGCATCGTCTTCTAGAGCAAGTGCCTCGTTTAGCCGAGCTTCCTAGCCTACTCGTCTCTAAAACTCCCTTAGGTTCTCTCTAACTTGGCCTCCTCAAGCAAGGATGGTGAAAGAACTAAATTGGACATCCAAAACTAAGCCTAAGGCCTAAACCCTTTCTGTGAACCTTGTTGTGTTTCCATGTTCTTTTCCGCTCATTCCCTCTAACCACCAGTAGACGTTGTTTTTCTCAGCCCTTGACATTTGGACAGTATATCGGTATGTAGACAATTTAGCGAGTCTATAGGGTTCAGGCTTTGGCCTTCGGGAACCTAGGCAGATGCAGCTGGCATTTGGGGGATCCTGGGGGTTTCATATTACAGATTTGAAAAGGAAATCATTCAGCAACCTCCACATGACACCACCCCCACGCCCTGATACTACGTACTTGCAGTGCGCTATGGGGCATATCAAACATTTTAAGGCGTGAAAGGGGTCAGGACCATCCTATCCCAAGCTACACATGAGAAGGCAACCACCTCTGCAAATCTACCCCGCAGGAACGCAAGAGTTTCCACAAATTGCGTGACCCCTTCTACACCCAAATAAATGACAACCATGTATTAATTAAAGGAAACCCTTCGGGAGCCCTTTCAAGCAATAACGGTGCCTGCCACATGTGGAGTGGATGTATGGACACCAAGAGCCTCAGTCGGGCAAATCCCTCAGGGACGTCCGAACTGCGAAGATTTTCCTCGAAACCAAGTTGAGGTGGGGCTCAGTACAAAGTTTCAGTTCATGTTAGAAGGGTAGTAGTTTGAAGTTTGAGGTAGACCCATGAAGAAATACCCTAAGGGTCCAAGTACCCAATAATCATATACTTACCCAAAACCTGTACTATAATTCCTATTACCCAAATCCCAAGTACCTAATTATTAGGTACATGGACCCTCTGGGATAGTGCGTCTCACCTCATGCGCTTGTGCTGCTCAATGAATGCCCGCCACAGAAAACATCTGTGTAGAGGCAGTTTAAACAGAGAGTTTAGGGTTTAGGGGTTAGGGTTTAGGGTTAAGGCATCTCTCTCAAGATCATGTTCTTTTCCATTATCCCAATATAACCCCAATATAATGTATCCAACAGGTTCCCCCAAAAGAACCTGACAACTTATGGTATCTACGCCGGAGCCCATCGCTTCAACATGTTGTCCGTTGTTTACATGAGGTGTTGCCCCATGGAGAACCGTAGTAATCCCCTCCCCACAATATTAACCACCCCCATGCCTCCTAATATTAAATACTCCTCAAACAACAAAACTGCCATGGTGAGTATTTAGTATTAGGGCTTGTGGTGGGGTCAATATTCTGGGTTCTTGTTCAAATACCATTAGAATGATCTTGTTTTATTGATATTGGGCCCTGCTATCCACAAAAATGTAAGATTTTGTTCTACAAGAGCCCAGTATTATTAGGGGGAGGGGATTTATATATTGGGACTCTACATGGATAATGGAAAAGAAAATGGAAACCACTATAGTATCCTTAAGGGTCCACGGACCCAAATATTAGCGCTTCAGAACTTGGACCCTTAGGGTATGGCTCTATGGCGATCTGCTTGTAGATCGTAATAAACAACAATTTGCTAGCAGGAGCTTAGTAGGAAAGTCCAGCTAGCATCATCGCCAAAGCCCGTTCCGGTCCTTGTTTCTTTTGGGTTAAGCGGGGTGACACATTCAAAGCCCAGAAAATTCCGTATGAACAGGTTCCCCTGGACAACAAAATGCGAAAGGATTAACATCACCTAGTTTAGAGTTAGGGGCTTCGTTTTGAAGCCTTTGAGCTGACGATTTGGGATCTAGGGCTATGAGGTGTCGAATTTGTGGCTCTCCTTGGGTGCCTATTACTTTTCTCATGGCATGCATCGAGTAGATTCTAGGGAGGGGGGGGGGGTGGCAGTTGCCCAAAACAGCCGTACTTCGGCTCTTTTTTTTGGTATTTTCTTCCGTGCCCGGAAGTTTATTCTTGATGGCCCCTTCTTTATAAGGACCTACCCCAACGCGAATTTTGTGGCAACATGTCATTTGCTGGAATCCGCCTATCCTCCCCCCAACCGACATGGAACCTGACGTGCGGCCCTCTATAGACTATAGACGACTGTACTTCTCAATGGGGGCTATATGGGTGTAACATGGTGTAACTCTCATTTCTTACGCCGTGGCCCCTATGATTCAGATCATGAAAATAGATGAGGTGTGATACATAGATAGCTAGAATTGTTTTCCTAAACTCAAATGCGCATGCTGGAATGTCAGGAGCAAATTCCTTGCTGAAACCCAATACATCGAGAGCCGTAGCCCCGAAAGCCCGCAACAGCAAAAACAAATATCCGTAAACCCAAAAGCCGACCTCAGCTACATGTTTGATTTTGACTCTTGGCCACCTGAACTCAGAACCTGGTGTATACGCACACCAAAATTTTAGAGGAACACTCTACGCACTCATACAAACACAGCATACAAACGCTTACCGAAATTTCGACCAAACCCTTTATAGACTCATTCAAACACAGAACCGTAGCCTTATTTGGATCAATACACTCCCAAATTACGGTAAGCCCCTATGAAACCCCGGATCATGAGAAAACAACCCTACAATCATGAGGCCCTGCACGCTACATCCTGAATCCTAAACCGCATACCTTCAGCTCATGTATACACAGGTATGTACCACAATATACCATGGTAGTTTCCATTTTCTTTTCCATTATCCCTACGTGGGGGGGCAATGTCCCTACCCTAAACCCTTAACCCCCAGTTCCTTGATCCGAGCACCTGACAACACGCCGGAGCGCGTCAGCGCCTCACAGACATTTCGCAAGGCACTGAGCACCAAGGCCACCCTGACGGTCTGTAGCTTTAGGGTTTTAGGGATTTAGGGTTTAGGGCTTAGGGTTTGGGGTTTAGGGCTTAAGCTTTTCTAAGCCCCAAAAGGTATGTAACACAATGGCCTTTATGGCTGTTACTATGGGTTAGGGCTATTACTTTACATACATTTGGGCTAAATATTGGGATCCCTAGTATAATCCCTATTAAGGGGAGGGAGTTTATTAATCATGGGTTTACATTAGTTCTGGAAGGCGGTGCGCTGTGGGGCCTGGGTTTTTGAAGTAGCATATTTTGTGTATACTTATCTGTATNNGTACCTCAGATTTAAGTAAAGTTGAGTGCTCAAGTCGTGGGCTTCTTCGTTTCTTTACATTATTCCTGCCTAAATGTGTCTCTAATTTCAGCTGAAATTGGCATTTATGCAGAGTAGTGTATCTATTGGAGACCATGAAAATATTCGTGATAAGGGGCTTATAAAGAGAGAAAGAAGCCAAAAATCTGACATTAGGTAGTTAGATGCACAGCATATTTCATCAAGAACTGATACATAGAAAAATGAGGAGAACAGGAGCCCGGGAGTGCAATAACTTTAAAAACCAAAGCAACCAACAACTCAATAATTCGGTGCCCGATGGA